CATTTCTGACACCAAAAAAGACGGTACCTGTGACCAGGGATCTGGGGAACCAGGGTGGTCGGCTGGTTATCATTTGCCAACTTGCCATATTACTCGAAGGGACTGGTTGGGCCGTGAAACGGAGACAACCCCGCTGACATGACCGGGATGCCGGACGCTAAAGGAGTTGTCGGTTTGGCTCGGCTGCTCCCGGTCAACAATCCACCGAGTTTCTCTCCCCCCTTGAGCTCCTTAGTCGAAGGAAGTCAAGGGAGCATGGAGGAGTCTGCAGTTTTGCATACCCTAGGTCCGGGGACTATGCAATGGAAGCCGGAGGGTCTGTGTGTTGGAATATGTCGGACCATTGAGTCCTCTCTTCCTTCAGCTGGCCTTGAGCTCGAGGGTCAATCTATTCAAGACAAGTTTCCCCGGTATTCGGTCTGCGTGATCGACGGTGCCAACACCATGATCCTATGGCGCAGCGTACCGATGGGACGTGCATGGCACGATTGGAAGCGACATGTTTCGTGATCGTCAGTTGGGCGTCAATGGCCTCTTAATCATTGCGGGTGACAATGTGAAGATCAGAATCATGCTTCAAAAGCTGCCCAAAAGGCGTCTGATCGGCACCGGTGATATGAGCTCTTATCGGTGTGTTCAACTCGATACTCGGAATGCCCTCTGACTGAGATTGTGCCTCTGTTGACATCGAAATGGTCAAGAGGAAGTCTTGGGGCTGGGCGGACCGTCTTCATCGGGATAGTCGGAACAAGGCCAAAAGTTGCGAATGAACCAATTAGCTGTTCAACGTGCTTGAACAGTCCGACGTGGCTTGTGCTCTTGGACCCTTTTACTGTCGTCAAGCTTCATGCATATGTAGCCCATCAAAGACTCAGAAGAAAGATCGCGCTACACGCGTGTCTTTGATCTCAATGTAACAATGGATAAAACGTGGCGCGGGGAATGTGAGTTTGTGGAGGGTGGTAAATGGATGTTCGACTTGAGCAGAGCCGAAAAGGAGCATCTAGATCCGAAGGGATGGCCATGATAGGTGCCACGAGTGCTCATGATGTGCCAGTGTCAGACATGGTCAGCAAGCCAAGAAGCGCGATTGGGCACTCTGCTGACAATTGAAAAGTCCTCTGTCTGAAGTCGCATTGAAAAAAAAGTCACACCGTTGCTGAATTTAGGAACTCTTGCTGGTATTAATACGCAGTATCTCGAGCAGCAGTTCCTCGATTTCGATACGCGTTGGTGGCTGGTGCCGATTTGACTATCCAGGCCTCCTTCAATACGAGCCTATACGAGCTGCTAATGTTTCATCAGCTTGGGTCGACAATGGATTGAGTCCATCGTTGTAGGTGGAAAATAGTTTCGGGATTTGAAATCCTCCGGTCTGCAATCTTGCGCCGAGGATTTCCAATGACTGCTGAGTAACGTCTGCAAATCTTGTGAAGCGTGGGATACCGCATCCTGGTGTAGTGTTTGCTGGCCGATGGGATTCAAAGACGTAACTTAAACCTTTCGCCAAACTTCCTTGTACCGCGCCCATTGTCGGAAACCTTTCCAGCCAAATTAGTAGGACGCTTTCTCGCACAATCATCGCACTTACCCAGAGATTGGAAACCGTCGTCTCCTCCCTTCATGCCATCGATGAACAGTTGTCGCATGCCTTGCTCAGCCAACAACTTGACACACATATCGAGCAGCCTGATCATCACAGAGTCCCGGCTGTTCACCATTTCGGGATGGTCATCTGAAACAAGAGTCAGCAGGAAAATCCACTAGATATGTTTAGCGTGACTACAAACCTATGATGCAAATGCAGGTAACTCCCCCCGCATCCGCGCCAATGGCTTTCGCCCACGGCAGGTCGTTGCCAGCTGGACTCCCAGAATTGGGAATATAGGTTAAAGCAACAGCTACGATAGTGTCACCTTCCAGACCGAGGACGACATCCTCAATGTGAGGTGTGCCGTCCAGGTTGCAGTATTGGTCGTACCATCCCATATTATCTTTGCGAGCCACGTCTCGACTGACAATTGCTAGAACCTGGTGGTACTCCATCATGTCGCATCGCCTGAAAGTCAGTCCAGCTGACGAAAAGCTCTTTGCGGGCATGTCTTCGAATTTGAGGAGCCAGTCTGAGACCTCCTGTCCTTGGCCAGGCTGGAACCCATCCATATTCCAGCCTCGTCGTGAAAACCAGTCTCGTGAGAAGAAATCAGACGGCACGCCGTACAAGAGACGCGGAAAGGCTGATCCCAGTTGCAGCCTGTTGACGCCTCGGGTTCTCTGGAGCTGTTTAAGGGCATAGTTATGTAGTGTTAATCCGACACCTCTTCCGCGATATGAGTTCTTGACAATCAATACGGCTACCGAGCCGAGCAAATTCTCTTGCCCCCCATCTGGATACGTGGTAAATGTAGCGCAGAAGCCCACAATCTGCTTGTTTTCTGGTTCGCGCACGACATAGTGCCTGGAAAAGCCATCTCTCTGGAGGAGCAGGACAAGCTGGTACTGCGGAAGATGAAATTTGGGTGGAAGGCATTCCGTCCACAACTGATGGATAGGGCCCATGTCTATACCGCAGACTTCGACATCCCAAGTTCTTGGGGCGATGATGAGGTTTTGTACGGGAACTGAGCTGATGGTAGGTGGACGAACGTCGTCAAAGATGATGGAAGCAGCAGCTTCTAGCTCAGATGGCGAGTAGCCTGTGATTTGCACAAGCGTAGCAAAGTGGTCGACGTGGAGGTTCTGGATTTGGAGGTTGCAGCAAGCTACTATGATCTGCGGTCGCTCGTCTGCCATTGTTCGTGCGGCATCGGCCAAGTCGATTTGCGAGACATCATCGTCTACATGAGCTCCAGAGATGACAAAGACGATTGCTTTTGCCCTTTTGATGAACTCGTAGTGAACGTTGGTGATGCCGCCTCTTTTCGTATATGGCACATGGCGGACCAATGAGTGCCGCGAAGCAATGGCACGGCCCAACGGTTCGAAGGGATCCTTGTCGTTGTCTGCGAATCTATTGTGAGGAACAACAACAGGCGTGAGCAGGACGATTATGTCGTCTTCCGATAGAATTCTTCTCAGGGGGATACAGTCTTGTCGGTCCCATAGTAACATGGTTGGGGTAGTTTGTGTAGACTTTGGGCTTTTCTTAGACGTGACATGGTGATCGATCTGCATTTCCGGAGAATACCTCATGGCGGAGATGGTCAGTTGCGGTCTCTTCAGCTCATCCCTATGTCAAGTCAGCGCGCGGTTACACAGATTAGCGCCGTGTAAGGTGAGTAAGCGTCAGATGGGAAGCGGTGGCTTTTTGGACTTACTAGGCCCGTGTAAGAGGGATTCCGTGCGAACGGCATGAGACGACTCGTTTGCTGCTCGTCCCGTCGCCAGGTCCACTCTGCCACGATGTTACGAGCCAGCGCACGACAGCTGCGGCTATTGGCGATGGGCCGACCCAGAAGCGCAATCGTCTGCTGGCCCAGTGTCTAGCTGGTTAAAGAGATCTTGTTGAATAGAGAAGATTTGAGTGATGGGCCAGATGTAAGACGATGATAAGCACTAGGGCACGTCAAGGCGAAAAAGACGTGAGCTGGAATGGTTCGGTGTGTTCTCTGCGTTGCTAGAACAACAGAAGAGACCAGGATAAATGTCGACAGTAGATAAGATTGAGGAATATATCCTCGACTGTTCGATGTTGTCGCGAAGCGCTGACTATTGTTGTCATTCAATTTCCTCAAGGAGACTAAACGTCAATCAACTCGATGGCACCTGGCACCTGGGCAAGCAAGTCTTGAGGGAATAACCAGACTAAATGTTAGAAGACACATATTTACAAACGTGAGGATTGGTTACACATACCTCAAAGGGCTGGGAGCAGGGCCGCGTCTAAGAGGACGATAGACTCGACAGAGATCTTTAACTTGATAGGTGTGGGAGGAAGTGCATGAGGGCAGTAGAGAGAGAGTGGGGTGTGCAGCAGAGGCGACCGGCCGAGGGCACGACCAGGCCGAAGGGACAGCACAACACAGCCAGTCAGCCGGATTTCCTACAAAGATGGGGACAGATGGGCAACATGGAGGGGGAAATCTTGAAAGAGGATATGCATGGAGGCATCATCAGCAGATGCATAACTTGAGAATGGGTATGTCAGAACGAGTAGGACACGAGGTGAAAGACGCCCAGCGGTCAAGGTCGAGGGCCCTCCAAGATTCCTCACCGTGGGTGGTGGGTCTTTGTAGCAGGTTACCAAATCAAGGGCTCTGTGGTTCCTGGTCTGGGGGACACTCGTCTGACTGATGCAATAACCAAGTTGGTTGTAGGGATAGAGAGAGGTGTGCACGCGTGCGTACGTGTGTGTGTGTGTACCCATGGAATGAAGAATGGTGGGAGGGAGGGAAGGATGAATGGACGGATGGATCCAATGTAACCGGCGCGGTACGGAGCGGTAATACGTCCGTCACCCTTAGCTTACTAGGTACTCTGGATGAAGTTGGTCTTGGATCATGGATGGAAGGGGGGATAACGGAGCGTTGACGGACGGATCTTTTACCTCGATGTGCTGACCACCAACCGAGCCTTGCAAGTGCCACTTAGCAACATGAGGGTTATTAGAAAGGGTTACACAACGCTGCTGCAGACGAAATTGGCGTCCGGCATGCGGCGTGCGGCGCGCGGCGTATAGTGACCACCACCTCGAGGTAAGGTATCCCGTAAGGTGAGGTGAGATGGGCACTGCGGTAAGCAGACGCCACTACACATGACGGCCGAAAGGTGACACAGAGCCAAGCCCATGCTGCGATAGATTGGACCTCAAGGCACACTACGCTGTCATGGAAGGTCGCAAAGCCCCCACGGCAGCGGGTGAAGGTGGTCCAGTCTGCCAAGGAGAGAAGTCGAGACGGAACAATATTAGCTATCGGTGTATGCAGTCTGCCTCGATCATTCGTCCAGGTAAAGTCGCCGCTACTAGTGGAAGCCCGCTTGCGGCTTGCTATCGTCGCCTGTCATCCGTGGCCATGGTTTTGGAGCTCCCGACCAACAAGTGCCCTGGACAGGCCCGCTGAAAGGAGAAGGTCCCAGGACATATAGGAGGCTTGCGTAGTTCTAGCAGGGCCGGCTTTGGGGGGAGTTTGTGTGCTTGTCGGGGTGTGAAAAATAGGGTTTACCGGGAGAATCCTACCGACGAAAAGGGACGACGAAAAGGCGGCACAAACAGGGGAGATGCCCATGCCCAGGTTCATTCGGTCCTCTCTCGGCTGTGGAGACATCGGGCCGCGACTGATAATGATATGTGAGGTACGGATACAGAGCGAGAAATCCGAAAGACACATGGCGAGCAGAGTCGTCGCTCGGATGATTTGATCAAACGAGGGAGAGACGTTACATAACTGGGAAGAGTTGTCAGGCCCGGACACGGTCAGTCTGTCCTGACCTCTGGTCTGTAGGCAGTGTTGATGCGGACCTGGAACGATGTCAGTGACCAGACCAAAGTGCAGTGAGGAGTCATGAGACCTGAATCGACACCTCGGCCACCGTGGTCTTGAACAAAACATGCGGTCAGAAGTGGATGCGACAATGACCTCGCGCACCTAGGTGGAGGTTTGTAAGAAGCACTGGACCTCGGAGAAGGATGTGACGGGGCCAGAGAACAGAAGGATTCTTGCGAGGTATTTGCGTAACCAGTTTGTGGAACAGCAGGTAAAAGATGGCACTACTGCGTAGATTATGTTAGGGATGAGGCGCTTCTGACGCCTCGGTCAGCGAGCTTGGCCAGATGAGGGCAATATTGGAGCCAGTTGTATTTCTGTAGGATGCGACTGTTGGAGGTTGCAGGTTGTTTCGAAGCAACCCTGTCATTGAGAGGCAGCTACCTACGCAGTAACGCAGTAGTTGTCCAAGGTAAGGCAAGGTAAGCAGTGTTGGTGTTACGGTGAGAGACGTTGGCGAAGGCAAGGTAAGCAACTAAGGTAGCCGTGGGTAGTAGGCGCGAGGTCAGAGGTTACGCAGGAACTTGGCGGGACGGAGCGTCGGGATGGCGGTATACAACGGTGAGCACGGGCGTTTCTGGAACGGGTATGCAGTATAGAAACGTTCGCACCTACGGTACCTTAGCACTTAAGGTAGGCACCTAACGGTCCAGGATGTCATCGGTCGATAGGTAAGGTACGTCTCTTCGTGCCGTATTCGTACCTTTTCTTTCCGTAAAGTACATCACATAAGGTACCTTGGCCTCTAAGACTTTTGACCGGTTCGTCGCATTCTCTCACGTTCGCCTCGGGCTTTCCCTAACGAAAAGAACAGACTCTTTCGTCTCCATGCCAAAAGACGGAAAGCCATGTCGAGATACCCCGCCATACATGGGCATCATGCGCCCTACTGTGTAAGCAAGTCCACTTTAATATCTTCCTACCTTACTGGGGGCCGTGCTACTCTCCTCTCTCCAGGCGCAGACGTAACCAGTTGCAGACCGCGGTTGCAGCAAATGATACTTTCGAGTTGCCTTGTGTAACCCCAAACAAGACCATGAATATCCCTCTTCCTTCCCTTTTGCTACTACCGTGCATGTGTACCTGCCTCTTGTCGACAGTTCCTACCCGAACCCCGTAGCCGCGACGTAAAAGCTAGGAGCTGGCCGGGTAGAAGCGACATCATTCGCAACCCGAGCCGGATCGTCTTCGTCATCTTTTTCCATGAACCTGCTGCAAGCCCGCGACTCTCGACTCTTTGGATGACTGCACCTCATATCTCACATCAGTCCCCCCGCTATGGACCCCAGAGACCAAATGAGCGGCAGCCATGGCAGCCAAGACGGCATATGCGCCGCTTACGGTCCGGAAGGTTTGCCACGACGTTAATGGCCAGCAATTGGATACCCCCAACCAGACCGGTGAGCATCTTTTGCAACTGCTCAGGCTTGCCCGTTTGCTGTTCCCCGCCGCCCACAGAGACGAAGTTTTGGGGTCCAAATCACCAAAGGCCGTATTCGTACCGGAGCAGATATCCATCAATCAGCACGGGGGCAAATTTCAACTGTGGTCAGATTCTCAGGTCATGGCATGCCCTCTCTGCATGCTCTTCATTTACCCGCAGGACCTAGACAGCGGTGCAACAACACAGGGGCTCTCGCCTGGCCTCATCGCCCGGCCTCGCCCAACCCTTCACCGAGGCGTGCTGCTGCTGATGCCTCCCTGTCCCGCGCACATTCGCGCTCCTTACGGACACTGCTGACCGAAAGCCTACCCCCACATCGAATCCGATACCTTGTAAGGAGTCGAAGACAGCTCTGCTGCTCCGGTTCTGGGCCTGCATCTGTTTTAGCGAATTGCTGAGGATGGAGCTTGCTCCGGCCAGTGACCCCGGACGCTGGGCGCCGAAGAACGGACCCATACCGGCTCTATACAGCCAATAAGGAAATGGACCCACAAAAGTGACAAGGTCCGAGTGCACGGTGCAGTTTTCCCGGTCTGGACACACTCACCTTGATCTTCACCCCGCGACGCGTCTGCCACTCTCATTCACCGTTCTGGACAGCTCGGGCCTGCCAACCCATGCTGCGACTTGACGACGCTTGACCCGCCTGCCTCATCTAATGTCGCCACACTGTATCCATCCATTGGAAATTCGGCACAAACAGAGTGTCGCAATTTCAAGACGTCGACATACCTGGTAGAATGGCTTCGCCCACCAACGATACGTCTATGAACATAGACGTTGACCTTGACGTTGACCTCCTGATTGGCGATGTTGTGGAGGGTGAGTAAACCCCCTCACATGTGCAAGCCGTGTATAGACCCAAGTCTAATTCGTACAGCTTCCAAACTGCCTGCAAAACGGCGGGCGACCAGCATCAAGCCTACTGTTGAGAAGGTCGCATCATACGCATTTGAAAATGGCCTTCTTCCCGACTCCTTGAGCGAACTCATTGACCTACTCACGAGGCCAAACCTGTTGGATCAGGCAAGCTTGAATACAATACTCAAGAATCTTTACCCCGCTACTCGGCTATCCAGTGATGTCGTCCTGAGGGTTGTGGGATGCCTCGGCCATGGGGAACTGAAGCCTTCCCTGGTTCTGCAGTCGAACATTCTGAAATGGCTAATCATGGCATACCATGTCATCGAAAAACCTGCCATCTTGTCGCAAGCCTACGCTGTTTTGTTCAATTTGCTAGATACGGCAGCCATTCGGTGCGGAATTTTCCTCTGTTGCGAACGGAAAAGGGGCTAACACGACTCCAGACCGCAACTTTGCCATCTACTCGCCTTGATCACACGCAGAAAACACGTCCGGCCTTTTAGGATCCAAGCTGTGTAAGTTGGTCCCTCTGCAATCGCAGGTGGTTCTTGGCGCTAATGGCACATCTCAGCCTCAACCTCTCCAGACAAACAGGGATTGACCCAGCATTGACAGGGCTCCTCCGGGTCTTCAAAGACTACTATCCTGAAATCATCGTCAGCGATGCCTTGAGGGGCAGGGCCTCGGCATTCAAGGTGAGAGGTGCCACGGCATTCAAAAGGTATTCGTACTGATTAGGTAGCACCCCGACGTGGAATGGCGCGAAAGGTTGAACCAGATCCAACATGACCATTCTCAACGGACTGCCGAAGCAGCCAGTCAGCCTCAGAACGGCTTCAGCGTCAACCATCAGGCTTTACGGGCCCGCGGCAATAAGTCATCCAATCTCCCTCCTGTCTATACTTCAGAAGCCACAGAGGTAAGCGTTCGGAAGAAACACAGCCAGATAATGATGTGCCTGGCTAACAAGTACAAAAGACCTCCGTCACTCTAGAAGAGATTGATAGCGCCGATCGTCTTGCTCAGACAGTCGAGAAGATTGAGCTACCCAACCAGCTTGCGGCTGTACTAGCGGATCCCCTCTTGCAAAAATTCGTTGCCCTGAAAAAGGATGATGCTGCTTCAAAGCGCGTGGTTCATTGGATCGATGCCGTGCTCGAAGACGTGCTCAACGGTCATGCCGATGACAAGTCGTTTGCGGAGACGATGGAAATGCTGGAGGAATACGTCGCTCGCGTTAAAGTAAGTGTGGCAACCGGCCTTGGTTGAGTCTCGCTGACTGTGTAGGAAACTCCACTGGTCGTCTTGCAATTTTTGACGAAATTATTCACGACATGGAACGGCGTTGATGCTCGGGATTCCATCCTAGGCATCCTCCAGTACGCGCCTCTCGTGGTGTTTGATGGCAAGCGTTTCAACCTCGTTTTCTTCATCAACTTTGCTGACTGTGTAACAGAGCTGTACAATGTAATTCTGAAGCCACTAGAGAAGTGCCTCCCTCCAACGGCCGAGTCGCAGCTAGCACTGCTCAAACTTTACCAAAACCTCCTCCGCCGCTGGACCTTTGTTCTCAACTCGCTTGACCAAGTACCCAAAGATGCCCCCGTCAATGCCTTTTTCGCAGTCATGGAGCACGCAAGCATCATCGCCCTCAACGTTGTCCAAGCTTCCCCCAGCGCGGCTGTCCACGGCGGTGTCCTCGACCTGTATGAACAGGCTGCCGCCAGCATCTCTGACCCTACACTTCAACCTCTCCTCCGCATTGCCAATCCGCCCGCGCAGCTCATCTACCTCCTCTTCTTCGGCCACTCCCTAGCAAACGTGTCGCGCCTGTGCACCGTCCTCGCCATATACAAGAAGGGCTTCGAGATGGCCATGTCCAGGCGACAGCCGACAACGTATGCTCCGAGCTACGTGAACCATTTCAACGGGTACCTCATGGACATTTGCAACTGCCTCTGGCGCGGCAAGGCTTTCAACGATGGCGATAAGAACGCTCTCGGCTGCCTTAGCGCGGGCCCCGTCACACAGCGGCTGCGCAGATATGTCGAAGACCTGGGTATGGACCTTGCGCTCCCGACGCTGTTTGGGTTCTCCTACTCGCCGCTTTTGAGCTTGCAGGCCATTGAGTGTATCCGCGAGCTGGAGGACCGTGAGCTAGCTGCGAACGAGGACGCCATCTCTACACGGCACGCGGGGCCGGTGACGTCAAACAGTTTAGCAAGGTTGGCAGACGCAAGGGGGTTGCGCATCACTTGGTCCGAGTATAGGATCATTGTTCTGCGGGCATTGGAGAGCAAGGGGTTGGGCGGTATCCCGTCGTTGATGAAGAATACCATGAAGGTCCTCATGAGCTCCAAGAGTACCACATAGAGATACCATGTTGCCATGACACGGCTCGGCTCATGCCGGCAACAGGCTCGGAACATCTGCATTTATGATACCCCCTTTTCGGAGATGAGTAGCGCAGTTT